CCCCACCTTCCTTGAAGACCACCTATTTTTTAATATATATATATATTTTTAGGGGGGTGGCTGTTTAATTTTCTTTGAGTTCTGCTGCGTTTCTACGGAATTTCTGTCCGATTTCGATAAGCATCACCGTTTCTGGTGTTATCAGCAAAGACACAAGCTCAGAAGTGACATCTTTTCCACGAATCCGGGGAAAGAAGAAAAATCCACTCAGTCCAGATAAATCCCGGGGCAATTCCCAAGGGGAAAGGCACTGGATACGTGCTTGGCGAGAAAGAGAAAATGCAAAAAAAAACCCCAAAACCCCAACACCAACTAACACACCAACCATAACCTAAACCCACCCTCGCTCCTCTACCTGCTTCTCAGAAGCAGAACATTTCTCACTCCGAAATGAATGAAATTACGGAGCACAAAGGGAAAAGAGGGGACAGACAGAGAGAAAGTGGAGAATTATTCCTTCCCCCCCCTCTCCTTAACCCCCCCCTTCCTCCCATCCCTGGTCTTGGCCAGAGCAAGAGACACTTGAAGGGAGAAGTTAGACCTTGGCGACAACCAGCTGCACACACTTGCCATGAAGTTTGCCAGGAGCTTTTAAGTGGTTACCTTCAAAAATGGCAATTCAACTTTGGACACCCGAGCGTGGTGGCTTCCCAAGGGAGTGAGGAACACACTCCAAAACATCACTTTTTCACGGGAGCAACGAGAACCGGTGCCACCTCGGGCCAAGACGTGGTCCCAAAGAACCACAACGTGGGGGGCGGAGAGGCTGCAGCCCGGGTGTCCTGGGCAAACACGGGCATCCAGCTTTTCTTTATTTATTTTTTTAAAAATTATTTATTATGATTATTTTGGGGAGGTAGGAGTGTTTTTTGGCCACTCAAACAGCGTGGAGAAAATACGAACCACGTAGACGCATCCCTCATCACAGAGCATGTGATGGGTTTTAACACGCTAAACTAATCATCTTGTATGAAAAAGCCAGGAGGCTGAAGAAGAAGAAGAATAAGAATAAAACCCCCCTCAAACACTCAGAATATTCTTTACTGCAAAAGAGCACTTCTGGATGCGTTGCTTTAAATCTCACTCTCTTTTTCTCTCAAAAAATGACTGTTTAACATAAGAAAAAAGGCTACTTGACACAAAGCTTTTGTTATCCAGTTGATCAGCAACGTGCTTTAGATACTTGTAAGGGGAAAAAAGCCCCACAACAGACATTGATTTTAGAAAATCAATAACCAACATTTAATAAAAAGAACAGAGGAAACACAAGAGAGGAGAGGGAAACATTACGTGTAATTTTAATGTCTACTAAATTACCCAGAGATGAGGGGAAGGGGAGGTCTCCTCTGTGAGGACCACCTTAAATAATGACAGACACCAGAGTAAAGGGTGGCGGTGGAGGGGGGAGAGACTTTAAAAAAAAGATAACAAGGAGCGGATCCTTGGGAAGCTGCTCGGAATATATTATTTTAGTTGGGTTTTTTTTGTAATACTAAGCCAAGCAAATAGATCAAAGACAACACAAAGGGAAAAGCCAGTGTAACATAACGAACAGTTTCTGACTAAAATTCCTCTATCACTCCCCCATATGGCTCGACGCCTCCACCACAACAAGAAAAAGACACATACACACACACGCACACACACACACACACACACTCACACTCACAACCTAGAGAGAGAGGGAAGAGGGGAAAAGGGGGGCGGGGGGGGGCTGGCAGGATCATTTGTTTCTAATCAACATTCTCTTGTCTTTGTGTTTTGGGGGGGTTTGTTGTTTTGGTTTTTTTTTTTTGGATTGTTGTTGTGTGTCCCCCTCGACACACACACTCTCCTTCAACCCCCCCCTTCCCTCCTCCTCCTCCTCCTCTCCACTTAAATGAAGTAGCTGAGCTAGAAGCGCACGGGTTCAGGTTCACACAAATATCTTCCTTCCTCCGGCTCCTCCAGAGGAAAGTTGTTGAAAGTGGGGCCGGGATGGCCATGAGAGGGGCTCTCCCTGTGATACCGACATGAGCAGCCGCAAAGAACTGATCTTTGTTTACTATACCACTATCATGCAGGAGATATTTTCACCTCAGTTGCTTGTGCAAGGCACTGAGGAAGGAGGTAGAATGTGTCCCTTGACTTTGAGATGTATACATAGGATTATTTTACAGGTTTCTTGAAATTAAGCAGCATTTTTTATGCTCCAAGCACAGCTCCCATCCGTTTTGGTTGGAACTAAAGATATTGGCCCTGCAGCAAATCAGATTTACAAGTTCCCACTATGCATCCTTTCCCTTTCCCCTGAGACAGGGGATGCATCATCGACAGCCTTCTATGCAAGGATAAAAATATGCCTCACTGCAAAGTTTCTGGGGCATTTGGCACCCAGTCTGTGGGGCTCAGATGTGCTGAAAAACTGTCTTAATGACTGTGCCCCCTGGGGTTCTCCATGCAGTGGTAAGCTGAGCTGCCATATGATTCTTTCCCATGAATGATGGGATAAACACTCTCCTTTCCTAAACACCATGGAGACTGGGATAGCATTGGAGATAGCCGCGCTCAGGAGGGCTAATGTATGTCTCTGCTGCAGGGAGGACTGGGTATGAGCCAAAATAGAAATGGATTCTTGGCATGTGCGCATTGTGTGACCCAGCCAGCTCACCAAGGTCATGCAAGAGTTGTGTGTGTAGATGGAAGGGGCTTGGGACCAACCTCTGCATACTGGACTGAAATAGCTTGGTTATACAGGCGTGCCCAGGGAGGTTGGCCTGGCATCTCCTAGAAACTCTGAAGAAGGGGGGGAATGGAGGAGGAGGGGGGGGAAGAGGTGGGACACGCAAGACGGAGCGGGCTCCCCCCTCGCTCTCTCCCCAGCCGGGCAGATCGTTGCCTTATTCCTTTATTTAATTAATTTTTTTTTTTTTTTTTTTTTTTTTTGGTAATGTTCTTACTTTTCAGCTATAGACGTTAGGAAAGTATGTATTGATGTCACACAAAGACCACTGTACTTTAAATGAATACTAGCATATGCCCCAGGAGAAATTTCAATTTTGGTGAACAAAGACTGTACTCCCTTAGCTCATGATTTGGAATGATGGCCACTCTCCTTTAAGAGCAACTGTAATTAATGTAAAGTGTGTGACATGGGTCACCTATCTTGTAGATTTGAATTGTGGAATTCATTTGGCTTGCCTCCATAAAACAAGCTCAAGGTTGTTTGTGGGTTTTGGGTGGGTTGCTTTTTTTGTATACAGTATCTGACTCATCACGTAGAGCCTTTTGTATTTTCTTCTGTATTTGAGAAAAAATGAGATGTTTCCCACTGTAAATTTAGATCCTTTTCTTAGTATTTAACCTAAGGCAAACATGTATAGTTTTTTTTTTTTTTTTTTTTTTTTTTTGCTCCGTGTGTGTGTGTCTGCGTGTGTGTGTCTGCGTGTGTGTGTGTGTGTCTCTCCCTCCCTGTGTGTGTGTTGCACCAGCAAAGCAGATCAGAGAGAGACAAGAATTACATCTCAAATGAGTCATAACTCATGACCGTATGAGGGAATGCACAGCTTTTTACAGTAGGCTGTTTGACTCAATGCTAGGCGGACCATTTCCTCCTAAAAGTACTTTAATTTGACATTACAACTTCTTTTCCCTAGCCCTCTCTCCTGCCTTTATTTCTTTTCCTTTTTTTTTTCTTCTTTTTTTTTTTTCTTCTCCCCCAAAAGTCCACTCCAGCGAAGTGACCAGAGGAGAGGGAAACATGGCTCTCTCCCCTCTCCTTTTGGGGTAAAGCCCAACACGGAGACCTCCCCCCTCCCCCTAACAACCAGGAGTGTAATTATAAACCTCCGTCACCTTTTTAGTCAGTTTGACAATATTCAGGGTTTCCCCTGCCCCTTGGTTAAACAAAGCTTCAGAGTGTCATTTATTTTTTTTTTCTTTTTTGTTATCCCCCAGAAAAGAAACAGAAATCAAAACTACCGCTGTCAGAGTTTTCAGGCTTTCAGTTGGGGTGGTTTTTTTTTGTTGTTGTTGTTGGGTTGGTTTTTCTTGGTTTTGTTGTTTGGTTGTTGCATTTGGATTTTTTTTTTTTTCTATAGAACTTGTAAAGTTTTGGACCTACCCTGTGTGTGTGTGTGTGTGAGTGTGTGTGTGTGCCCAGGCTCTATCTGTCAAAGGGAGAGGGGCAGGAGCGTTTGCTTTGCAGCAGTGAACGCTCCCTGAAACTCACTCCATCTCCAAGAAAGATGCTGTAGCTTTAAAGATGCTTTGACTTGAGGATTAGTTTAAACAGGGGGCTATAAAAGATGTAACAGATGCAAACTGTAAAACAAGGGCAATTAACCCTTGCTCTCCTGAGCAGGATCCCCCCCCCTCCCCTCTTCGCCTTCGCATCTATTGTCTTCTCCTGCACTGGGAGTTTTACACAAAAACCTAAAAAAAATCATTACCTGCCTCAACAATACTACAAAAAACATAAAAATATATAGCAAAAAAGTGGGCTTTCTCCTCTCCTCTTTTTTTTTTTTTCCCTCCCCTTATGTCTTTTTACTTTGCTGGAGCTTCACACCAGGACTGACCAGTGAAGTGTGCTGCTGCTGGGGCTTTTTTTATTCCGCCTGAACTCTTCTTTCCAGGCGTTTGCGGTTATCAAACCTGCTTGGCTTAAAATAAATCTGCGAGCAGGTAAGAGGATGGGAATATTTGGGAGAGTGTGTGAGCGGGGTCAGGGTGTTTACTCACACTCTCCTGCTTGGGATTCCGCCTGGACAAGAGTGAATTGGTGGCTCTGTGGCTGGGGATGGATGGGGCTGAGGAAGGAAGAGGCTGAGAAATGTGCTAGAAACTTTAGCATTTCCCACTTCTTCCCCAACCCTGGAGTGGGGAATGGTGGCATCACCGGGGCAGATCCACCAGGAGATGCAGCGGAGAAGGGAGGATGAGAACCGAGGCGAGCCCGGACCCTCAGCCTTGCCTCGGCAAATTGGCGTTTTCATGCAAAAAACGACCCAATGGTGAATTGTTTTAAATGCGTTTCATTACCTCCCCTGCTCCTCAACCTCCCGCAAAAAAAAGTTGTCAATAATTATAAACCTGCAGAGCTCGAGAACGCTTTTCTTCCTAGAGAACCGGCTAGCTTTTTTGTGCAGAAAGACCAAGTCCCCCTTTCCTAGCGCTAAAACTTTTCCTGCTGCTTTGGGGAAAAAAAGGCACCTCCCGTACCTGGCTGACAGGTAAAGGGGGAGCAGAGGGGTGGGTGGTGGTGGTGGTGGTGGCACCGAGAGCCCCGAAACTGCTCGTCCATTCCCGGAGCGGGACCGAAGTGACTTCAGGTTTCGGTTAAAAAAAAAAAAAAAAA